ACAATAACATATCAGAGACACCTTTCAATGAAAAGTGAAAGAGGTGAACTACAGGTTTTATATAAGTAATCAATCAATTAGTGCAAGTTAGCACAAATGGTTATGCTTAGGTAGTTTTAGTGGACGATGTAAATCACATCAATATCAGGTCTGCCGAGAATCGCGGGTAACACCATGATTTATAATGAAATCATTACTGCTCTTCATGTAATAATTAGTGATAGTTGAAGAGTTTACTACGTCACGGGCATCTGTTCAGCACTTTGTCTGAATAAAAAAAAGGGTGCAATCATCGTTTGCTTCTAAAACTCCTACTACCTAAAGTTGTTCTGCTCTTGGACGCATCCTTCTTAATACCGTTTGTCCACGACAAATTTCATCACATAAAGTATCCATTTGACAAAAAATGCCCACATTGCGCTCATCGTTTGTCACTTAAAAGCGTACTACTGCATGTTGTTCAGTTCTGGATTCGTCCCTCTTCTATCACTTAAAATTGTACTATTGCAAGTGGTTGTGTTTGGGGAGCTTTCATCTTCGATTATTTAAAATCTTTATATTGCACGTTGTTTAGTTACAGACGCATCCATCTTTTTTTACTTAAGATCGTACTATTGCACGTTGTTCAGTTATAGACGCATCCATTTTTTATTACTTAAGATTGAGCTAATCCACGGGGTTCAGTTCCGGACGCATTAATCTTCTGTCACTTAAAGTCGTACTATGGTACGTTATTCATTTTTGTACACTTGTTGTAGTTGTAGTTCACTTAAGTCGCACTAGAGCTGCACAGTGGGCTATTGGCGACGGCATAGGAAGCATCCCTAAGGATGATCCGAAGACATGCCATTACAATTTTGATCCTCTGCAGAGGGGATGGCACTCCCGCATCGTTAGCAAGACGACCTGCACGCGAAGTCGAGCATTTTACGGGAGAACAGTTTAAAGAGGATTAATACGGCCCACACTCGGTACCTACGCAGACTAATCCAAGTGGTCAATCACCCACACACTGACCGCAGCCAGTGATGCTTGATTTCGGTGATCTGCTGGGAACCGTGTCTTAACAATCAGTCCACTGCGGGACTCATTTTTGTATACATTCATCACAGTACGACGGGTTTAAATTGACTTTAAAATGCTCTCTTGAAAACTGGTAAATTAGTTACATGCAACCTGTGGTCACTTTTCTTTTAACTTCTTTTATAGTCCAGAAAGGTTACACGACTATTGTTACGATATATCTTACGCTATTATACTAGTCCACTTTTCACTTCCGCAACCTATTTATTATTATTTGGTTATTGTCATTGAAAAACCAATTTATATCATAATTTCAATCAATGCATTGAATGTCAAAAAACCATTCGGAAAAAATAATTTAAATCGAACTTATTTTATTTCGAAAGATCTAAAATATAAATTGGGTATTAAAATTTATTTATGCCACTTTCCCTTTAAATTGAGTGATGTTATTGAAGGTTGTAGAGGAGCATCCACAACAAAGCATTCATCCATTTATCACTTAAGAATGCTAAAATCTGTCATCACTTGGTGATTAAGAGCTTTTGTAAGTGATTAAGTGCTTTTGTAAAAGAGAAATTAATAGGAAAAGTCATTAAGCGGTTATTTTGCATGATAAAACATTATTTGTATGTTATTAGATTATTGATGAAACTATTTAACTGATGTAAATATGAAAATTTATTTCCTATTAAAAAGAAATTAGTATGTACCAGTAAAAATGCATCTAAAATAAATAATGAAAATTGCTACTTAATTTCATTTCAAAAGAAAAGCATCAGTAGCTTTGTTTTCAACCTCCATAATTATTTTAGTACATACTACGACTTCATTTACTATTCTAAATAAAAAATTAACAAAAGACTAATAGGTTATTTGAAAGAAAATACTAATAGACTAATAGACTTCCACTACTAAGAGACTCACAATGTCTACTAATAGACACACAAACAAACACAATGACGCCGGAACTTAGATATATGGGTGATTCTTTTTAAACATGACAATTCGGACCAAAAAATTTCTTCAAATTTAAAGTCTTCAAAATAATCTAAATTTTTGTTTGTATACTTCTTCAGTTACATTTATTAATATCTCACAGACAGCAGGGTAGTTTATTGACATTTGCTCGAGAAAAAAAAATAACGTAGAAATTCACCAAATCTTAAATGTCAGGAAAATAACATATTAGCTTAGAAGTTTAAAAAACAGTCATTTTAAGTCAATAGTAAGTAACTCAACTTAAATCTTTATGTTAGATGAATCATAAATCGCTTAAATTAATTCCTCTTATTCACTGTAGAAAGAATCAAAAAAAATTTTTGTTGCTGATATGTGCAGCAAAAATTTTTGTATAATAATCAATCATTAAATAAATAAATAACTTTGATTACATCCAAGCATATTACAATCATACATAAACTTGGTATCTATTTCATATAAAACGCTAATACGTATGTATCAATAAAACCGATGATATTTCTTTTCTCGCATTGGCAACAGTTTTCACTTTTAATTGATAGGCTTCGGCGCGCAAGAGCACCTAGTGAGCATCATATGGCTAATCTATATTATATAAAACGCTAATACGTTTTAATTGATAGGCTTCGGCGCGCAAGAGCACGTAGTGAGCATCATATGTCTAATCGGGTGAATTCTCACCGAATTATCAAAAAAATTCTCACAAAATTATCTTCATCGAAGCCGATGCTTTACATCCGGCGTTCAGTACTATTTCATATTGTTTTACAACACATGGTTTTAGCCCTCTGGTGGGAAAGACTTTAAAACAAAACTTACAACAGTTACTTTTCTCAACAACTGAAATTTAGAATAGTGTGATTAAGAAAAATATGTGAACTGTTTGCAATTTCAAATTAATATTGAAATGCACAGGTTTAGAATTTTCTACAGTGAAAAGTTTTCGGAACTTCAGTGTTCAAAAAAGTATACAAAAGCTAGACGTTAAGAACGTATCCAATGAGCGAGCAAAGCGAGCATCGGATTGCGAAGCAATCCGAAATGAACTGCGAAAGCAGTTCCGGGGGTTGGCGAGCGCCAGCGAGCAGGGGGCGAAGCCTCCTAGTTAGGTTAATATTTGCCTTCCCTCTTTACAATATACTGGCTAAAAAGTTTTCTGGTAACACGTCAATGACCTTTTATTCATAAGCCAGGAAAATGACAGCTAGGATAATGAAAAATTTGCCATTTTATAGCATTTAACTTTACTTTAATTTAACACTTTGGCCTAAGGCGTTTACATTCCACAGAAAACAACAGGATTTCTTGAAATAACTCAAATAAATTTATGCAGTTTATGTAATTAATGATTTCAAGAAGACAGGAAAATGACAACATAAAAACCTACGCACCTTGAAACATTTTTTGAAATAGATTTCGAACCTTTATTCAAGCAACAAGACATGTTCAGATAGGATGGGATGGCATCTAATCAGTCTATTAACATAACATATTGATTGCTGGCTTTATCTATTTTGGTTATAAATCACTAAATAAAAGTAGCCAGGAAATTGACAGATTTTCATGCGACCAACAAATTATTGACAGAAAAAATTATTTTAAAAGAAGTTTTAGTAAATAATACCCTCTGCGTATATTCTAGAAATGCTTACAATGGTTGAGATAAAAAAAAATTGGATTTTGAAAAACGTATGAGAAGTTTTGAAGCTAGTTATTATTGGAAATATTCTTTATGACATGCCAGGAAAGTGACATTTTGATATTCACTTAAATTTTTTAAGTATACAAAACAGTCAATGTTAGTGCAAAGTCATTTTAAAATGCTAACACCAATGCTATTTATTAATTTTTTTAAAAAAAAGCTCTTTTAGTATTATAGTATTTGATCTTGGAGCAAGGGACAGTGAATTGTCATATTTCGTGAGAATCACCCATATATGTCTAGTATAATTAAAGATATATTTTAATATTTTCTCATTTCACCAGTCATTTGCTTCAGCTTCATTCTATAACACTAGATAAACATTTCTAGGTAATACGAAAATCGTAAAATATTTGATTATTTGCAGCGGAAATAGTTCTGCAAAATCCTAGGATTCTATGCACTGTAAGAAATGTTGGATTGTCCACAAAAGTGAAATAGGAAAACTGGAAGCATTCCAGAACAAATTTTTGAAAATGATTTTAACAATTTTCTGGCCTAATATTATTTCAAACAACGATCTACTAACAAGTGAAAAATTATCACCCATTCATGGGGAAATTTTGAAGAGATGAGGGAGATGGGTTGGACATACTCTTCGTTTAAAACAGGATGGCCCTGCTAACATCACGTTTCTCGGGCACCTTATGGAAAATGAAAAAGAGGAAAGCCTAGACTTTTTTGGTAAAGATACATGCACCAAGATCTATACAAAGCAAAACTAAATGGATAGGAGGAGGCAAGAGGACTGATTCAAGGCAGGGGTTCCTCAAAAAAGAGGACTTGAGGCCTTATGTGCCAGCGAAGAGGATAAGTTGGTAGATAGAAAAAATATTGAATATTAAAACATATTTGTCGAAGAGTGAAGTAGACATAATTTAATGAATAATTTAAAGCATTTCACTCATTTTTGATAATTTTTTAATAATAAATAAACAAAGAAGTCTAAAATAAAGTGGCGAATAAAGAAGATTAAAAAAATATTTTTAGTTAGCTTTAATCTCAACGAATTACGGTTCAAAATTTTGAAATGATACACTATGTGTCCTCGAAATATTTCTAAGGAACGATAACAATCATTTAAATCAAAAAAGATTTTTAATTTTCTACGATTCTTTTGTTTTCGTTTTGAAAATGAAACTTTTTATCAATTAGTGGACTACATAGTTATACTTGTTGATAGATTATTATGATGTAATAATGATGTATATGATGTAATATTTTCAGAAGATATACACAATCAATACTACATGGCTTATAATGAAAAATTATTATACTAAGGAATTGTACTTACGCATGGAGGGAGCATTTCGAACAACATCCACTTTCGTTGCCTGGTACCCATCATGCCACGTGAAATTCCTTTTGTATTCCGAGTTAACCTAAAAACAATTATTTTTTTAATTCCGCTTACAAAAATGTAGTGAAAAAAATCTTTTTTTTTTATTATTTTATATAAGAATATCTACATTTAGATTTTTTTATATGAAATATGTAAAAATTAGCTAATGAATTTGATATAACGCATAGAATAAATACCGTAAAAATTCCGGATCAAAGTCTCGTAAGAAAGTAGAGTGTCGGTACATTTTACGGTAAAATCTATTTTTACCGGAGCATTTTGCAGAACAAAAAGGTAATATACCATAATTTTTTCAGTAATAACTGCCATAAAATCATATAAATATTACTGTAAAAATTACGGTTTAATATTTTACGTTAAAAAATGGATTTTACGGATGACGCTCCCTAAGTGCCGATACTTTACACCGTAATTTAATTAATTGTTTTTGTTTTTCCAGTGGCGCCATCTATGGCCAAGAATTCGACTTCTGCCACACCATACGTCTCACGCGTTTATAGGGCGGAAGAGGAATTATTAAAAAGTATTTATTCATGTTTTGAGCCATTTTGTTATTCTTAACCATTTTTTACGAATTTGTTCTTTTAACCTTCAAATTTTTATGCTTTTCTCAACAACAGATGTTTACATTTAAAATTGCAAGAAGATTCTCAAAAACTATAAAATAAGTGTTTAATGATTTTTTATTTACTTTAGGAAATAAAGTACATCGAAAATTACGAAGAAAATTTATTTCCTTCTATTAAAATAGCATCACTGTCTTATGAGAGCCCCATTCACTTCTGAAGGTGTGGTCAAAGTGACAAATTGGCTAGTATTCTTAATGGACAGTTTAAATATTAGTTATACGCAATACTCTTTAACGCTTGGCCCCACGGGCATTCTCATTGTGTCCATTGACGGACCCGCGAAGACTGACCATTGAAGGATCAATCGGATTCGAAAAATCGGATTCGTTTTACCCTTTTTTCTTCACTTAACTAACGTTAAAAGTGTTTGCCAGGAATCTCCGCGAACTACAGTTATTTTGTACCGTCCTTTTCACCACGCTACTTGAAAAAAAAAACTGTAGAGCTCTGCACTACTAACTACAAAAAAAGTAGCTTTTACAGTAGTTTCGCTACTCGTAGTGACCACTGAATTAAACAAACTGAGATTTAACTGAATGAAACAATTCCCCAGATTTAATTGGAAAAAAAATTTAGCTGAACGAAAGAATGTCGAGTTGATAGAACTTATAGATTAGAATTTATGAGGGTTTTAAGTGTGAAAAATAAAATAAAATTTTTTTCATAAATATTAACTCGTTTGTTATTGTTATCTACACAAGTTTATTTTCTTCTAATTTTATTATTTTTTAATAATAAAATTATATTCTTCTCTATTTTCTTCTAACAATAAAATAACATTCTTCTATTTTTTTATTACTTTTATTAATTCTATATTTTAGTAGTTGTTTCTACTATATTTTTAAATGCATCAATGGAACATTGTAACACTATATTGTTATTGCTATTACTTTAAGAAGAAATAATAGCGTAAACATTTTATGAACATTTACGCATCTGTAATTGCTATCTAAACATGTGATGTATTTCCTTTTCTATATTTTTAAACACTAAGTCAAATTAGACTAAAACAAAGTCTCTAGAGCAAATAGTTCAGAAGTCAACATGTTTCCATATTTTGGAAAGTTAAAACGTCTAATTTGTATTTTTTATGTGAATGGAAAGAATTTCAGTATGATTTGTTCAATCTCATTTCATTAAAAAAATATTTTTTGTTTCAATTTTTTTATCATTTAAAGCTTGTTTAGGCAATAGACGGAAAAATTTAGAAAGTGCTCTTCGAATCTGAAAGTGATGGAAACACAAATAATTTGGACTGAATCTAAAAAACATTCTACTCTAAAAGACATTCTGAATCTAAAAAACATACATAGAAGAATAGTGAGTATAGTGAGAATAGTAGTAATAAGTAAACGATATTTACAATTTTGAAGAATGTAAATGCTAATTACTTACATTAAATTTTTTTGAAACTCAGGAATGATTTTAAAGTAAGTTTAAAAACTGATCATTTTCTAAAACATAACAGACAAATTATAATTTATTATATATTATAATTATAATTAATTTTCATTTAAAATTGCGTAAAACTGGAGGGAATGCTCCACTCACAGAAACTCACAATTGCTTCACACTAAATTTTGCTTCTTGACGATTACCACATTTATATTAACGATAAAAACTATTCAATTAAAAATTACGAAACTAATTTTTTATATATTAAATATTAGAAAATTTTTTTTAAAGTAAAAGATTACGAAATTAAATTATTTAAATGAAAAATTTATGAAATTATTATTTTTAAATTAAAAGATAACAAATTATTTTTTTAAATTAAAAGATTAATAAACTAATTTTTTTAAATTAAACGACTACAATTTTACAAAATCAGAGATTTATTTTCCATAAATATAAAATTTAAATCTAATCATCTTGTCCGTTACCATTACAATTTCATTTTTATTTTTTCAATTCCTATTAAGTGTCTGGGTACTTAAGAAATCGTTTAATAATTTACGCTAAGGACATTATTTAGTTATGAGGCGAAACTTTAAAAAAATGCGTTTACCTTAAAAATATACATCCTCCTAATAACGTTTTATAATTATGTATTCATTTATTTACATATGTTGACTAAGTTCAAATTCATTTTTAAAAGAAAATATAACTTATTTATAGTTATTGATTATTGTTAAACAGTCAATTTTATTAAGCGGTCAATAATTGTTAAACGGTCAATAATTGTTAAACGGTCGCTAATTATTAAACGGTCAATGAGTTATATTAAATATGTTAATCATAATAGAACACCGATTTAATTTTTAAGTATTTAATTTAGACTAATAATAAAAATCCGAAACGTAATAATAGAAAACAACTTTAAGAAAATATGACAAATAAATATTGCTGGTAAATTACTTTAAATTATGAATAAAGAAAATTTTACTGGTATTACATACCGCTATAACTTTTATTAATTTAATGCTGATGAAAATAAAAGAAACCTGGATCTTATTGGGTAATTAGTGAACCATACCATAAGATTATTTGGCCAATAAGAATGCGCCGACAACAATGAGAAAGGAATTCAGACCATCATGTTTTTATATTAGATTAAATGAAAATATCTGTCTTTTGTTACATTTGTCTTTGGAACTGAACTCTATTGCAATAAGCGCTAAAGAACAAAATTTTTAATTTTTTCATTAATTATCACCCTAGATATCTTTTAAAAAAACTAAACTCACCGTCACCAACGCATAATACATTTATCAATTCGACTTATCAGTATTCAAAATAAATTAATGTATTGATCAAGTAACTAGACCTAGACTCTTGGATCAACGAAGTCACTAACAGTTGTTGATTTTGTTCTAAATTTGATATTGATAAGTTAATTATAAAACACGAGGAGAAGAAAAAAAATCTGGTAAAATTACCGTGCTGAATAGTTAAAACATTTCTGGTAAAAAAAAAATTTTTTAAATAATCAATTTGGTAATAAAAACCAAAATATACAAAATTTAATCCATTCATATGGCAAATTTTTTCGTTCATATGGTAAAGGAAATTCTGGTTTTCAAAATTATAATTCTTATTACCACTCATTTTGTAAAAAATAAAAATCTGAAAAATAAATTCAACCCAATAAATGGTCTTTATGCCATGCTCTAAAGTTTCATGATAAAATTACCAAATTTCACATTTAGAAAATTTAATCACATATTATTTTATTAATCGCACTGAACACTCGTACTTCGCCCCGAAAGATGCTGGAAGTGCTGCTCTTTAAAGTTACCCGGTGGGCCTCTGTGAGTCTAAGCCACGTAGGTGACACACACCACACAGCCACAAATACCCGTTCATAGCGGGGTCCACATTCACACAACAGAGGACAAAAGCCAGAGAGAAACATCCATGCCCGGTGCGGGATTCGAACCCGCAACCATTGGCTTCACAGTCAGGCGCACTAACCGCTCGGCCACCTATCCGGCCTATCACATGTTATAAAAGTATATTTTACTGTTAATTTTACCAAAACCATTATCAAAGAGTTTCCGTAAAAATTACCGAGCTTTTCAGTGCTCCCATAGAGCCAGAAAACACGGTAAATTTTGTATATTCTGGTAGTTTTGACAATACTTTTTCCACACTGTACAATGTGCAATTCTATTTATAGGTGTATTATTTTAGTGTAAATGTGTATTTAATTTCTTATTATGTCAGAATGTATTTAATTGCTATTCTTTCGAAGAATTAAGCAAATTTCTTAATAATAATTCCTTTTTCTTTTTCTTAGTACACTCGCCTTTTCCCCGTTTAGTTTCATAACATCCGACAGAGAGCTTCCAACAGTTTCAGAAACATTGGTTTAGAGTTTAGAGATGCAATTTTGCTCAAAGGTAGTAAAAATTAAACAAATGTTATGTCGGAGTCCTAGACGTAAAAGTTTAAAACATTTAAATATGTCTTTATTTTTTTTTAAATATTAATTTTGTTGCCCTTTTAAATTTTTAAAAAATCACGCTTGTATTTGAATTTGATTTCAGTCCCATTGAGTTTTAAATGACACTGAAGTTTTGAATGTATTTATCGTTATCAATTTTCATTGTTTTTTCCTACGTTGAACAATTATATACTTAAAACTAAAAACAATAATCTCATGAAATTTGATGCACGTATATTTTGAATATTTTATTTTAGTTCGTTCTAAAGGTATTAGTCCCGCAGTGGACCGAACGTTAAGACATGACTCCCAGCAGATCACCGAAGTGAAGCATCACTGGCTGCGGCCAGTGTGCGGGTGGGTGACCACTTGGATCAGTCTGCGTATGAACCGAGGGGTACTTTTCAAACTGTTCTACTGTAAAATGCTCGACTTCGCGTGCAGGTCGTTGGGGTGCCTCCCCCTCTGCGGAGGATCAAAATTGTAATAGCTTGTCTTTGGATC